ACACACACACACACACACACACACACACACACACACACCTGCCCCTGAGTCCATTGCAATCCACAGACGACCCTGCAGGGCAGAGCAGAACTGCTCCAGAGGGCTTCCCAGCCTGTAAAGCGTTCTGAGGGCGCCCTGGTTGGGTAGTGGTTATGCACTGGCTCTGGTCCACAAGCGTGGCAGTTTGAAGCGTGGCAGTTTGAAACCATCAGCTGCTCTCTACAGGAGGAAGATGGGGCTTTCTACTCCCATAAACAGTTACAGAGTGCTTTCCAACACACAAAGAAACTCAAAACTAACCACCACTGTGTGGATTCTGACTGGAGGGTCCTAGTGGGCTTTCCAGACTGCAACTCCAGGGGGTAGACAGCGTGTGGACACACCTACACAAACACACACACACACACACACACACACAACCCCTGGCCATTCCGAGGGCCTCCTTCTAAGTAAGTCTCTGGGTTTGCTCTCCCTCCAGTCAGCCTTCTCCCCTCCTCCGGAGCCCTCAGGAGAACCTCCTCTTCTCCGGGTATACTTCCCTGATGAAGTCAGGGCTTTTCCAATCCTTCAGCCTGCCCTCCACCCCCACCCCACTTTCTTCCTTTAGTGCTGGGTCACTTCTGCCTAACTCTTTCCGGCAGACATCGGGCGAGAGTCCGCGTCCCCTCCTCCAGGGAGATGGCTGACTGCACAAGCTGCTCAGCCTGAGCCGGTGTTCTCCGTACCCGAGCCTCACACCCCAGAGAAGGGACTCGGAGCACCACAGCCCCTTCCTGGGCACTGGGCACCAGAGCGATCTCTTCCACAGTTCTGGCTGCCCAGGCCTTGCCCGGGGCATCTCTCTGCTCAGCACCCTGGACAAACGTGACCTCATCGCACCAACAAGGCTGCTCCTCTTCCTCCCGCGGGCCACGGCTCTCATCCAGACCTCTCTTCCCCAGGTCCTTCCTTCACCTGGCTCCTCCTCCCCTTCCTCCTGGGGGTCTCCATATCAGTTTCCCCCAGAGAACCTCCCCCACCCCCCAGCCTGGGCGAGGGGCGCACGTGCGCCTTCATCAGCAGGAGTCCTTTCCACCGTCATGGGTCTCGTTCTGGCACTGGCCCACCACAGTGCACTCTCCTCTCTTGGGTCCCAGGTCTGCAGGCAGGACGGAGGCACCGCACACAGATGTGTGGCACAGAGGAGCAGGCACTGCCGGGACTCTCGTCAGGAAGAAGCCGAGAGACAGCCATGAAGCAGACAGCTCTGCACACTCACATTTAAAGAACACCTTACACTTTAAAAAACCAATCCCAACTGGGTCCCATATTCACCCTCTCTCAGCCCTCCTCCAGTGTAGATCCCACAAGCTCCAACTGGAGCTCTTGCTCTCAGATCTCCCAGGCTAGATTCATGCTGGTGGCGACCCCACTGACCCGCCTATTCGACTCCTGGGCCCTGACTGCCGGCAGACTTCCCAAATGCACACGAGCAGACATCTCCGCGCATGAGACCCCGCACTCCCATTTGGACACAGCCACCCAGCATCCAGACACACAGACTGGCCATGACCATCCGCACAGGGCTCTGTAGGGGTTAGTGGACTCCAGGCTTATCCGATCCATCCGCTGGGATGAGGCTGGGGGACAGCCCTCTTCCCGGCCCCGGGGCTGGGCAGCCACTTACTCATCGTCTCCCCCACACAGCTTCAGCAGAGTCTTCTTGTAGTCCCCGGAGGTGTCGTTCTGGGGGGACAAGTGGGGAAGGGTTACCTTTCACGGAGCTTGGGGTTCTGCTCACGCACAAAGAGAGAAGTTCTACAGAGCCCAAAGTAGGGTCCCACTGACCTTCCCTCCTCAGGCCACAAGCGGGGGGCATACCGGCCAACACTGAACAACCAGCTTGGTGGAAGCGGTGTGTGGGTAAACCTAGCATTTGCCACTTTCTGGTGGAAATACTTGCACCCACGTTATGGACATGACCAGACATGACCGCACTGAATGTGGCGTTGCAAAGGGAAGAGGTGCCATCCCCCAGGCAGAGGGGCTGACCCACCAGGCGACCCCAGGGAAATATTCTAGGGCGGTTCTCAACCTGGGGGTCCAATGACTCTTTCACAGGGATTGCCTGATTCATGATAGTAGCAAAATTACAGTGA